GGAAGGAAGGAAGGAAGGAAGGAAGGAAGGAAGGAAGGAAGGAAGGAAGGAAGGGCAAGCTAAAGGAAGCAAACCCCACCCTCCCTTGCACTGATGGTGTTCCCTAGTCGGGTCATGAAACGTCTGCAAGCAAACCACCAACCTCAGGGAGCACCAAGGACTCCACAAATAAATAAATGATTTTCCAACGCCAGCCCTGGCGTCTCTTTTCCCAAGGCGCCCAGACACCTGCTAGCCGAGGAATGGTAAGCAGGCAAAACAGCAGCCAACCAACCTGGTCTGTTCCTTGCCTTTCTTCGCTTTCATTTTTTTGCCAGGCTTGGAGGAGAAAGGGGCAGTTCCGATGCCAAACCCTTGCCCGTCCATTTCTCCAACCAGATGGCCATCAGCGTCCACCAGTCCTGCCTGGGGAGAGCAAAGAGCGGGAGCCAGGTGTGAAAGGATCTTGAATTGGCCTCCCTGGATACTGTGTCTGGGTGTCTCCTTGCTGGACAGATCTCTCAGGGCAAGCTCTGAATTTGGACTTCCCAAACCCAAAGTTTGCATTAACCTTTTGAAACTGGGGAGAAGGACATGCTGGGGCAGGAGGTCTGTTTCTTCGCTTACCTTCTGAACGGCAGACAGAGTCGCAAAGTCGTTCTTGTCTATGAGGGTGTACTTGCTCCGCAATCTGGCTTCCACTTCCTGATCTTGCTGGCTAAAGCAACACATATTGGCTGGGTTCACACGAGACACTTATCCCCTAAGCCCACACAACGCGGCCACGTTGCCTATCGTGAACAAAAGAAGTCAACCACTGAGGTGATGACAGGATTGGGCTGACCCTAGCCAGGCCTGGGAGCTAAGCAGGATCAGCAATGATGGATGCTTGGATGGGGCACCACTGGGAAATCCAAGGGCTGAACGCTAGACTGGGAAATAGAAAAGAAAATCCCCGAAGGACTCGCAGATGTCTTCTTTACTATTGCCAAGTCCCCAGTCTGGGCTTTCAGGGTCTTCGAAGATGTCTTTCCCTTTGCTTATGATGGCTTTATGGGGTGGGCTAATTCATAGAATACACTAAGACAAGAGAGGGCTTCCCAGGTCTGCTGAACCATCAGCTACTCACCCTATTTTAGTCTGATCGAGCATGCAGTCCAAACTCAGCTGCTTTGGAGTAGAGAAGACTAAATCACCAGCAGCTGGTTTTATTGCAGAATGGTGCCTTGCTGGAACTGCCTTGGGCTCCTGTTGGGGTCACATCGGGGACACCCCATCCCTGCTTCTCAAGCAGAGTGTGCCCTCCCTTTGGATGGCTGCAGTTTCACAGGTAACCCACCAGGAACAATCCTGGATCCCCAAAGAGACCAAGCCATTCACTTCCCAGTTGTTCAGCCAGTTTTCAACAATGGCCCGGTTATTCCCTGAAGCATCTCTGATGTCATAACTACAAGAGCACAATGACATCATGAACTGAAGAGTGACAGCAAGCCATCCGTCCCTCCCCTTCTGGGGGCAGGAAGCCACCAGTTCATATCCAGGAGGCGTTCCTTGGCTTAGCCCTCGTTTGTTCCCATCTTTCAAAACCTACTTTTAGGATCTATCGATTGATCAATCGACCGATCTATCTCTCTATCTCTCTATCATCTAACTATCTAACTATCTAACTATCTAACTATCTAACTA